AAGGGAGAGACGACCTTGCTTAGCTAACATTTTTTCCCTCTGCACCAACTAAAAACAATAAGCAAGGGTAGAATGTATTTTCTGACACTGTATGCACTATAGAGGAAGGTAAAAAGTACAGTACATTGATAGCATTTCAAGAATTTGTGGGAAAAAAATTCAAGCAATAAATTCTATTCCATTTTCCCTATAGAAGTTTTAGAGAATATTTAGATATTATTTAGTTTTTCAGTATAAATTCTGTGCATTCTTTTGAACAGTGACACATAACTTGAGCAGGTTTTTCACATGGAAATGATCCGACAGAAACACTGCAGTACCTTTTTCAAGTAGTCCAAACAACAGTTATTTTTGATACAGATGGAATTCCAAAACCATGAATTATTCCTTGTAAAGTGACTTTCAAAATGTCCAGCAAAAACACCACAGGCACATGGCTATATTATTATTTTTTGCGTATAAAAATGGTAAGTAGTGTTGTTTTAGTTCCATCAAGAAGAACACAAAGGAAGTGTAAATCTTCTTAAAAGGTTGTTTTAAAATAAATAGAAGTTCTCTCTTTAAAGTTTGCTCAAAGATGACCTCTTCTCAATACACACAATTACTGAAAAAAATAATTTCCTCGAAAATACTTTGGTGTGCAGATTTCTCTTTCTTTATTGGAAAATAAATTTTTGGCGAAACAAAGTTTTAGGATAATTCCGCACGGGAATTGTTAATACTGATTATTTTATGTTATGGCCAGAAAAAAATGCGAATTTAATCACAGATTTTTGAAAACGACTTTCAAAATTTTATAGCAGTTTCATGGCGAATGAATATTTCGTTCAAACACGTAATTTTGAAGGTTCCTGGAAGTCATCAAAATTTTACACATAATTCGAATATAACCATTTCTGTTTCACTGATTACCCTGCAAGCTAATGCGATTGCAAAAGTAGAATCAGTGCTGCGTGATTTCTGAGGGGAAATATAAATTTTTCAGCCGTCATGATAATGCTGGAATATTTCACAATCGATAGTGTCGGCGTATTTGACTCAATTTTACGAAAAGATCAGAGTTGCCAATTCTTCTTTTTTTCATTCCATATAGACTCACTGCATTTGGACCTACTACTCGTCGTTCAGAAGTATCTTAGCATCTAGGAAGACGTCGGGACGACTTCACCCCCAGGCTTGTTCAGCCCCGTAAGGTGTACCCGTGTTCAACGGACGTTCACTAGTTATTCAAGGCCAGTAAGCATCAGGAAATGCGGTTTTCAAATCAGTTTGTTTTTTTTCTCCCTAAATTATTCATCGTATACCTTGGCAGAACCAGGATCTGGGTAGCCAGCACTACAGAAGCACGAAGCGAGACAAGGTTCATGTTCTGTGACTTCCGGCATGGGTTCTGAAATTGAGTACGTTTTGCCCTTGTACCTGCATGAGGGCTCGGATGTAGGAGCATTTTCCGCTGCAAGACAAATTTTGATTTTTTTTTATTTACTCCAAGAAGAAATTCACAAATTTCAAGGACAATATTACGTGAGTTTCACTTTATTCAGGCGATCTGAAATTCACTGCATTTGCAGACACAGGGGCATTTTCGCTTCAAAGTAAATTTCGATTTCTTTTTTTATTCATATCAGAAATGAAATTCAAAAATTTCATTGACAATATCACGGCAACTGAACTTGATTGAGGTTATCTGCGATTCATTGAATCAGCAGATGCAGGAGCATTTTCCGCTTTCGGGAGATTCTTAATTCATTTTTTCCACATTTATATTCGAGAAATGAAATCAACAAACTTTCGAAAGAAATATTATAACCCTCGATCTTGATTCTTGAGTCAGATGGGCAGCAATTCAATGATTGATTTCTCTGCTCAATTATTTAAACGCTTGGACAGGTAAGTATTTTCTGTAGAATCTCTCTAAAATGAGCTCAGAAGGGTTAAAACATTTTCACACTTCGAAAGTTTTCGAGATAAGGAAAATAAGTACAGTACAGAACAGAATTTTTCTGGGGAAAATAATTGAAGAATTGCTGTGTAGGAAATTGAAATTGGTGATTTTCTGGTATTTAAACTACTAAATTACAGCCAACCGCCACACAACAAACTTGATTTGCAAAACAGATTATAGTCTGTTATGTGAAAAGTATGTTATGCGAATTCAGTTGGGAAGCAAAGAGGGACTCATGTCCACTGGTGGCACAAACTTCTATACAAACTGATGTCTGTTTATGTGTGAATTTGTCTGTTAGGCGAGAGGAAAGACTTCCTCCACATGTGGTCTGTTGTGTGGGATGTATGTTGTGCGGAGGTTGACTGTACTTTGGTTTATTCAATTGTCCTACGACTTGAACAACCTCCGTTCCCACTTAAACGTATTGTTGAGCAGAAAGTGAAGGAAAGTTTTGCGACGCAGTGTTTGAGTGTTAACGATTAAGTAGTAGAGTGAGAAGCTCTGAAAGTTTTCTTTTGTAATGTACTGTATTTCATAATTTTAAAAGCCGGTGTTCAATAAATTAATGCAAAAATTAATCACAAACAGTGCCGTAAGCTTAGAGCAGCCCGTCGTAAGAGGAGAAAGCATCTGCCCAAACGTCAAAAAGCGAACTATTACAGGGGTGTTCAAGGTTAGCGTTAAGAAAAAGAGTGTCACTTTTAGATGTGTGTCAAAAAACACAGTATTACGGTATATATTTTAATACACTGTATACTTCGATGAGAGTTTAATACTAGCCTGTTAGAGGCTCTGAACCTCCACAAGTGTCTTGGCATTTCCTGGCGGAATTGAAATTGTTGGCATTGCCTTGACATCCTCCGTAAACAAACCACTCACATCTGCCAGTTTCCTGCAAAAATAAATTTATTGTACATAAATATTTGAATAAATCAAACTGAACTATCCCTGTGTGAACCGTATATATTTAGGTATTTGTGATGGTTTTTGCTTCTTGAAAATCCTAGATTTGTTGGCAGTGACATACTTTTAATTTATTTTCAATTGTCATCCGGATCCATCCAAAATGTGTAAAGAACACCGTTTAAGATGTCCTGAATGCGGAAGTAATGCATTGAAGAATCATCACCAGGAGAAACATGATTTCATGAAGATGCGCAAAATGCTTCTCAAAATTGAAGAAAATTACATTTTCAAGTAAAACATCCGGGTGAGCTTTGAAAAAAAATTCTACGTATCTTTTTCTCTACTTTTTCTCAAGCTAAAAAAATTGAGACATTGAAGATCATGCAAATCTTTGAATTGTATCTCGAAATTATTTCCTTCTACCAACAATCAATTAATGTTAAATCGTCGATATGAGAACATATACAGTATATATACGAGATTACGAATATACAGTATATGTGATCGTTCTCTCACCGAATTGAAACCAAACTTTCGGAAGAACCCAAAACAAGGACCCGAGGAAAGTGGCTGGTTGCATGCTTCTTTTGAATCCTTGCTTTCTGTACCTTCGTCTACACTATCTGGAATGGATAATAAGATAAAAATTAGTCATACAAAAGCAAATAAACAAGTTGATTGATTCGGTGTTTCACGGAAAATCTCCGCATGCATGAATGATGCATATATGAATCACAAACCTTGAAGAATGGCGTCCTTCTTCGGGCAGGCGGCAATGCACTGGGCTTCACTATCAAAAAGATTCGCAGTGCCGCCACAGCCGCCATAAACATAGGTCATGCACTTGCCTTCCGTAGCATTGTACGTGTACTTGACTAAGAATGCCAGGCAAGACTTGGTCTCATTCGGCGCCATTGGAGAAAGTGTGCAAATATCTGCTTCCGCTTGTTTTCCAGATTCTGCAGTAATTTGTTTTTGCAAAATAATCGAGTATAGGACTTGATCGTGACAGAGGGGGTTCTATGACGCCATGTTCTGGCAGCAATAGAAACATACAAAAATACTGTTTATCATACTGAGAATTTTCATCAAATCAAATATTGAATAAAATTAAATGAAGGGAGTTTGAATAAAAGCTGTTGAATACAGTGATAGCTCATGCGCAAAAATTCAAGAACTGCAGTCAGAGTTTTAGTATCAACATTTTGAAAAAGAGGAAACTGTGCTGACAATTTAATACTGTACAGTATCTACCGTAATTTTTCAAATGAACCAACAGATTCGGTTTTAAAGTCAAATCTGTTGAAGCGATCACATCCAGAATGAACGCTTTCACAGGCTGCTAATGATGGATCAGGCCATAGATGCCCTGGATAACACTGGCCTTTGAAATTTGTAGAACAACAAGAAGGTCATCTAGATATGGTATTTTTAATCTGCCAAGTTCTATATACACACTCTATACTCGAATAAACTATTAATTAATATTACTTTCTACATACAGTATTTATATTAGTTGGACCTTTGATGTAAATACAGATGTCCCTTTCCTGGTTAAATTTCAAGGGGTCAAAAAAAGATTCTAGTTGGGGAAATAAGCCTAAATTCTTGGAAAAAACATGAAATACAGGAAATTGTGAATGGCAATATTCTGGGCCTTGAATTGCTTCATAAATGAGTTGAAGGAATGCCATTAAAAGAAATCTTCAAAAGCACTCAGTAATAACGTTTGAAAGTTTGCAAGTGTACCTATAGAAAAGTATACAAAAATTCTTCTTGTAATAGTAGGGTTACAGTGTACAAAATTCCTTTTGAAGACCATCTTCTATTTAAAACCCGGCTACTCATTGATACAACTTTCAATTGGATGTACGAGCTATACTCTGTTAAGCTTGATTACAATTAAAGTTGGGGTACATTTGAGGACTAGATATTTATGGTACCAAATGCTATGTACATAAGTATTATAACCTCCTGAGGATAAAATAATTAATGCTCACAGCAAATTAATTTTTTTCATTTGCTTCCCATTTGTCACAATACCATTAGAATTTCTCTTGAGCAATTACTCATGACAAAGCCTATATTTCCTGGTCACTATATGGCTTTCTTTTAATGCGATTTTTCTGCACATATGAGGCTAATATGATCAGTATAGTGCTCACCAGTGGTGGTGCCGACTCCAGAGAATGTCGTCCCTGCTGTGAGACCCACTCCCACCAGCGTTACCAACAGCACGTCTATGAACTGCATTTCCGCAGCTTTCGCAAATAAAAACCTTCCACGCGACGCCATGAAAAATAAAATAGTTAGGGGAACAATTAGAAAAAGAGACTAAAACGAAATTTTCGCAAGAATCCCTGGACGCGAAATACGCCTCAATTCCTTGCTCCTTTTATTTCTGTTGTCTCATCCAGATTTATGTGAGACTGCTGCGGTCACCGAGGAGTGGACCGAAGCAAGGAAGTGCAGGAAAAGTGTACTTTTTAAAGAATGTCCTGGTTGGACAGGGGTTTACATTGATATACGTTTTTAAATACCTTTTTGAATTTGTTTAATTACAGCTCCTTCAAAATAAATTTAGCAACATCCAACTGCATGGTTGTTCCTTGCAGGAGTTAAATTATATTAAATGATATTTGCTCAAGTACAGGTGGTACCTTGCAATTCAACCCTAATTCCTGGCCAAACTAGGGTCAAAATGCAAATCAGTTGAATTGCAAGACATTCAATAAAATTCAGAATATAATTCCAAAAATGCAAAAAAAATTGAAAAAGCAGGTTGAATTGCAGGGCAAGGGTCAAAGTGCAAGTCATTCATCCCTGCAAATTTGACCATTGAATTGTGGGATGTTGAATTGCAAGGTACCAACTGTATCATGCACCCTTGAGTATAAGACCTGCACCAGCGTTTTTCCAGTCACCATGTTTTCTAAAGTTGTGTTCTCCAGTAAGATGCGCACCTCATTTTTATTGACTTTAAAAATGCAATGCACTGGAATTTTGTTAGGACAAATCTCATTATACCAAATACTGTAATTGATAACAAAAAATTCATTTATCAGGTTCCTGCTTCAAAGCTGAAATGTTATTTCTGTTCCTTCATGAAAAATCTTTCATTTTAACAGACCTATTTTACTATAGTACAAATGGATTTGTGGCAATGATATTTTCTGCATTCATGACACAAGGAAACCCAAATTTAAATTTAAACTTTAAATTATCCTAAATTTCAATAATTCTTTGATTTTTCTTGCAATACATGGAGTTTTTTAATATTTTTAATGCCCCACTGGAATCAAATACAATGAAAAAGTTGAACTTCAATTTTTTTAAACAATTTACACTCATGCCTCAGATGCGCAGCCCCAATTTTTTTTTTCATCATTTTTGAAAACAAGTTGCAATTGGTATACTCAAGTAAATACAGTTGTATCAGTTCCAGGAAAAATAAAAGCTTGTGCAAAAGGAATTTTTAGGAATAAATCAAAACACCTCAATCTGATAAGGGACCATCCATCATTTTCAAATTGAAATCCTACTTTGGATCATTCAACACTAAATAATTTCTTCAACATTGAAGTTCATGGAAAAAGTGGAGCTAGTTGAATAAGTTCTATGCATAAACGGTTGCTGTAGTTTGTTTTATTTTTCAGGTTTGACCAAAAGCATGGAGCTTACAAATGTTCATTGAAAAGTATGCATTAAGGTCCCTGCAGTGTAGAGCCAGTAGTTTGTTTGCTTAATGGCAAGCTTTTCATAATAACCAAGGTTTTCAATTCAAACCCTAATACAATAGTATAATAAGGTCTGTGCAGGTGAATTCCCTTGTAAATCACCCTTTTCTCCATTCCCTGTGTGAAAGTGACTTGTCCTTCATGGACACTGCAATACACTGGATGAATTATCCTGTTGTGCAGTACAGCAACAGCTGTGTGTGCGTGGCTGCTGACTTGCAATGAGTCGCCCACCATTGCGTCAACACAAAAATTTCCCCACTGTTTGCCGTTTAAATATTTCGTGGAATACTATTTCAAGGCAACACAATATGCTATGGTAATCCAGTATCCAGCACGCAATCAATGACATCAGAAGAATTACCCTCTCAAAAAAATAAACCCAAGTGTTTTGTAAAATCTCTATTAACTGGTTCAAATGTAGGGTCAGTAATAACATCAGCTTTGATTTTGAGGATTCCAAGGCTCATGAGTGAAGCAGTGATGCATAAAAATAGAATTTGGGATGCCAATGGATACAAAGAATCATGAAAACTGGTTCTTGGGATCTGATTTGAGGGGGTTTTATGACGCAGGCATTAAGTAAAACTGGTTTTGGATCTGATAGGACCATTTTGGAATGCTTTGTTGCTGTGGGACTTTGTTTTTAAGGATGCCTATCATGTGGGATGACAGTCATTCCATATCCGACTTTCTGACTCTGCTTGGAGATGAGAATTTTACTGTGATGAAGGAAATCAGATAAAACTTGGATTATATAGTTGAATGGGTTCTTTGAACCATCAAAGGTGATTAAAACATTCCATTTATTTCCTCAGGTCAGGCTAATTTAAGAATAATGTAAGTCATGATTTTCAATTGTGACGATTAGCCTGAGAAAAATATTCAAGAACTGCGTGTCAAATTCTATTTTTTAAATAAGGAACAGTTGCCTTGACCCAGATGATCAAAAATCACAGATAATCCAAGAAAGGCAAACTAATAAACATAAAGAATTTTTGGAAGTAATATTACAATTTTAAAAATGGTGAGAGAAATCCAATGTGGATATGTCCAAAATGTGATCAGGAACTGAGTCTCAAAGCATTCTATTATATGTATGATTACTTGCTTCTATTGAAAATCATGATTAATTTTTACCTTTTGACCATCAATCATTTTACTTGATTTATCAGCAGATGCATCTATAAGTATCACAGAGAAAACATGAAAGAAAGAAAAAAAACATAAAGCTATCAGGAAAAGTTTAGCATCATAACCATTTAATACGGAATATGCTTCCTTATTTTTGCAGAATTTTTTAGCTGCAAATAATTTTTTTTTATAAGAGTTTGTGTACATCAGCCAATAATGCTCTTCATCACCTTAACAATGTTTCACCTCCCAAAATTATAAATGGAAATAAAAGTGATATCAGTTAGAATGCATTGAAACTGAGATTGTCCAGGCCATTAGCTAGGCATCTTGTCACAACAAATCTCAATTTACAAAATTATTTCTTCACAACAAATTTGTTTTCTAGGTTCCAGCCCCGAGCAATGTTATTTGGATTTGCTTGTGGCAAATATTGATGCCAAAAAAATATTTATATTACAGGTGGTGCTCCAAAATTTGACCCTAATCCTTTGCTGGACTAGCGACAAATTACAAAATAGTCCAATTGCAAAGCAATATCAAATGCAATGTTTTCTATATACAGTAAATTGTATTTGATGTTGTCCAACTCTGTGGGTCAAATTACAGGGCCTTGGTCAAATTGCAAATCAACCTCCCAGCAAATTTGACCATCAAATTGCAGGATGGTCAAATTGTGGGAGGTCCAATGGCAAGGTACCACCTGTAGGACTCAGGAAGTTAACTTATCTTAAGCAGTTTGTAGTTTTTTCTGATTTTTTCAAGTATCAGTTGGAACCTGATCACTACCACAATATGCAGATGGATTAGAAAATAGATGAAAAGAAGAAAGAATGGGAAATGGGTGATGGGTGCATGCATACATGTAAGATGTCCAGTTTTATTTTGTGGAGTGTGTTCTATTTTATTTTTGTCATCAATTTGTGCTTTGTTTCCTGCTTTAAAGTGATTGAATGTCTTTGGGGGAGTTGGGTTGGGTGGGGATGGGGTTTGGATGCGGGAGTCTTGGTTGTGCCTTGTGAACGCTGAAAAGCAGCAAATAAAGTGTTCTGTTCATTCATTCATTCATGAAAAGAATTACAGTGGGAGCATGGTTATTATATTTATTCAGACTATAATGACTACTACATATGCCTCTTTTAGTTGGTTAATTTCAAATCACGCTTCAAAAGTGGCAGATATGTAATTACGAGTGGACACGTCTTAATACTGTGCATAGATATCATGTTAACATGATGTCAAGGTTCTGTGAGAAACTTGGAACCGTTTTAACTCTCAGAAAGAAGAGTTGGTGCGTTTTTGCTAAAATTATTTGAGCTTTTGTCATACTCCACCACATCACAGTGTCACACACATGATTTGAGGGGACACTGTATAATTCATGATTATTCAAAACACAAATGGTCAACTTTCTTACAAATTTCTTGGCCAATGAATAGTTGATGTTTTGTTTGATGCTTATATACATCCACACATAGGCATATATGTAATCATGGCCATCAGCAAATAACAGGTGCAGACTATCTCTCTCTCTTCAACAATCTTTTCACTGCCTTTTTCTGCATAAGAACTTGTTTTTTGATCACATAGGGTTTTCTCCCCATATTTTCGGGGTATTCCATCAAGAAATTGTAATTTTTCTTGTCCCTTGAATTTTGTTGTAGAGAGAGAGAGAGAGAGAGAGAGAGATGAGTACACCTGCTGTATTTGGTTAACATATATTGAAAGTTTCAATGATTGGATTTTTATGAACAAATTCCGCACAAAACAGGGCAAAAGCACTCTTCAAACCAGGATTTTTCTGCAAATAAAGACTTGTGTCTGAGCACCACAACACTGCGCCATTGCGATCCCAAGATTTGACGCTGCGGGCTTTTATAGTCTGGCCAGCATGATGATGAGAAGGGCCCGCGCAGTGCATGGCTGAGTTTTCCCAGTACACCTTACCCAGTCACATAGGGGGCACCCAAAATAGTGTTCACTTTGCTTCTGCTTTTCACCTCAGAAAATAATTTCCATCACAGCTGATGCATTGACAAAGAGTGGCAAATCCAGCATGGCAGATGAGTGGCAAATGAAAAACTGTGTATCCAGTAACATTTTTTTGAAAAATGAATTTCTGAAATCAGGTGTGCTTGTCATATGCAGATGAAAATAATTTTTTGCACGAGCCCTGTTAATGTTCATCAATAATGGCAGGAATATTTTGTAACAACTTATTGCTAAAAAAATTTTTATTTTCATGATCAATAACTGCTGGGTGCAGGTGCTATGCATGGACAAGTTTTCAGGAAAATGATACATACACAGAAGGTAAACATGGATACTTTTAAAAACATCTTATAGCAATAAACCATATTTTTGCGGAATTTTTCCAGCATAGGTGGTTATAGTTTTTCTTTTGAAAAATTTGAATGCGTTTCCTGCAAAACATATATTACCAGATTTCTTGGACCTATACATTATTTCTTGTCATTGATGTGCTTTTCATGAAAATGGAATTTTACAATCAAGAAAGATTTGAAAAAAGGCTTAAATGTTCATCAATTCATTACAGCTTCTTCGTTTTTGAAATTTTAGTGTGAACAAATTTTCCACTCTTCAGGTCGATCCAACGTGTGCATTTGAAAGCCAAGTCATTTCCACACAGGGATTTTAAAATTATTTCTCCTCCTCACATACTAAACTTTAGTGAACCCTGAGAACCATGCCTCGTGCGGAAGCAGCAAAACATAAACCTTGGGCCCTCATAGAGTTCAATGCGCAGTTGACGCATGGGGGCATGCAGGGCAAAGCTGCGCGTTGGCTTCCACATATAAACAACTACTGTATATAAAGGGGAATCCCTGGTCTGTTTTCTTACTGGAACAGCTAAGATATGGAATGACTTGAGTGTGTATGCATCCATGACAGGCAGTGTGGATTCAAGATGGGAAGCGAACACAAACCCCAAAGAAGCCCTGCTATTCGGGATTCAAAACAGCTGATGTAATATAATAAGAGCTGCTGTTGGGGAAAACCTGAATGGATCTCATTCAGCAGCTCTTCTGAGAATCCCTCATTTTCTGGGTGCTCTGAAAATTGCAAGTCACCGTTCAGCCAAAGTGTGAAAAAAAATGTGATTATTACTTCTAGTTTCTAAGAATTAAATACATAGCCTTTGGTTTCATGTTTCATTTCCCCCTGAGGAGAGCGAGGAATTATTTTTCTTCAAAAAATTGCTCACTGTGCATTTCAAGATAAATTAAATGGTGAATGCAGTTCAAGTCCAGAAATATTTTCACTTCTCTCACCTCTATAGGCAAAAAAAAAACAGCTCTCAGAAAAAGCTCTGTTTTTTTAACCTTCATTCATGGAGTATAGGTGATCTGTTTTACAGTGCCAATTTTTCTCACTTATTGGCTGATTTCAAGATTTTTGGACTAAGGTCACTACTTCTGCGCATGTGCTGTTTTGGTAACCTGAGGTCAAACTACATTATGCTGATCATAAAAAAACCAGGAACAACTTTTCAATATTAACCAAGTCCCTCGGTCATTTTTTTTTAAATCAAGGCTGTCATTTTTATGAATTTATCCTCTGTGGAAAAAGTGTGCAGCTGTTGATTTATTGAATTAATCCCATGTCCAGGTAGCATAATGGTTCCCCTAAATGTTGAAAAAAGGAAACACTGAACCATAAAAAGATGAATCAAAAGGAAAAAGACCATTCCTCAATTAAACATGTAACTGAAAATTGAGAATGGAGTATCAACATGCCAATACTATAGAGCAGGGGTGCCCAAGATACGGCCCGCGGGCCAGATCTGTCCCGCGGAGGCTTTTCATCTGGCCCGCCAAGACAGCATGAAAGCTCACCACCAAAAAATTAAGACCATAAAAAGTGAAAATTGCAAAATTTTCAAGACGTCTTCAGTCTGCAATTTTGATTAGTAATTATATTTAATATTAACCAAGTCCCTCGGTCATTTTTTTTTAAATCAAGGCTGTCATTTTTATGAATTTATCCTCTGTGGAAAAAGTGTGCAGCTGTTGATTTATTGAATTAATCCCATGTCCAGGTAGCATAATCGTTCCCCTAAATGTTGAAAAAAGGAAACACTAAACCATATAAAGATACATCGAAGGAAAAAGACCTTTTCTAAATAAAACACGTAACTTAAAATTGAATGAAGTATCAACATACCAATACTAAAGTTTTTGAGTGACTAAAGATTTTGAAGCAGTCCGGTCAGTATATAATTAATCGGGAATGGAACCATAGTACAAATAAAATCTCTTGGATACCCCTTAACAATAAAATTCCCTTCAAACTTTTTTTGACAATTCGACAGCTCGAAAAGTGTCACAGGACATTCATTGCACCACATTTTTTTTTCACGAAATTATATGCGGCAGTGAACTATTCCTGGTATCCATTGATATCAATTATACCGACGGGCGATGTCACGAAGTGTTCCAAGGAAAAAAGTCAACATTCGTCCATTTTCCGCTGTTCCCAGAATAAATAAAAGAGATAACGATATTTTGGTTTCAGCGCTGAATGTCTACAGCACGGATTGAATTCCAGTTATAATGAAATCTCCATCAGCAGTACAACCTGTATAGTTTCGAAGTTCCTGTTCTAAAAGTTAATGACACGATACCCGAGAAATCTAATGCTATCAAACTTCACTTTTCATTACAGAATTTTCATTTTTCATTTTCTTCAGTTTTCCTTTCATTCATTGTATAAGAGCAAAGGAATCGATTTTTTCTTCTAAATATCACATCAAATCTGCCTTTTGGTATAAAAAGCAGCGTTCTTCGTTGGTTTTGGGTGTTTAAACGCCATTAGGTACCTTACATGTCGACTACTTTTTAGGAACTTAAGCCCACGAGTTTTTATCGGACGATATAAAACTTTTTACTTAATCTTATGACATTATCAATGTATCTAAGAACAATGCACACTTTTCCTTGAAAATGCAATTCATCGTGTTATTTTGTTTAATCATAAGGTTGTTTTTCACAAATTTTTATTTCGTAAACAATTTTCAATTTTCAGCCAACGAAAATCGGGTTCCAGGTCTTATGAGGACAATGAAATACTTTTTTGGGTGAATTTTGTGCCAAAAAAACCAAGGTTGTGTCTAATTTCAAGTGCGTGTACGCGGTACTACACTAAATGGTTTTTTTTTTTATATTTGTCCATAAGGATTATAGCTGACTTTTTAGGAGATTGAAAACATTTTGAACTTTTTCCTTCTTTGAGAATGTTTTGAGACATTGTCCGGATAATGTGGCAGATTTTTTTCTTTTTTTTTAGTTGACAATGTGTCCATAAGCCGAATCATCCACGTGGATCTTTGGTTGTGAGGAATGTTTTTTACACTGCTGAAAAACTTTGCTGCTTTATTCATGCATGTTAATTTGTCCTGAAAAATGAAAGTTTAATTGGCGGTATAGTTATCTTGAATTTCAGATTAAAAATGTATTTCTTGATCGGAATCTTAATACGTGTACAAAACACATTCTTGCGTTATTATTTTTCCCTTGTTCATCGCAGCAAGATTTAACCTGCATACAGTATATTAATAGAGGCATATGTGATGAACTGTTTTGAAGTTGAACTCATGCAACAAAGAGTCCATGACTGGTTCGTGCATGCGTACATTCATCATCAGTTTATCAGCATCACACAGGCTTTGTGAATCATTATAGTCTTTTTTATTTATTTTTCTATCTTTCGGGCTGATGCGGAGATCCGTATCTTTTGTTGAATATCCGGTGGAAGTGATGCCATTTCCTGACTGTTGGTACATCATCGGGGGCTCGGGAATAATAAGAGAGTTGCTCTAGATTTTTGCATCCTTTCCTGCCATCAAGCGCAATTAATTGTGAACGGGTGAAATACACGCAGTTCTTCCTGTTATAATTCTCTATTTATCTTCCTCGCTGACGAATATGGGGCATATCGACCTTTTCTGGTCCGTGGTTCGCAAACTTTTTGGCTCATTATGGGCGCGCGCAATTGAAAACGGAATTTTGCGCTCAGCTGCGGAAGATTCTGCTCACCACAGTCTACATAGCAAATTTGTGTTTTAATGACTTAAATTTTGCACAATAAGGTTTAGGTTTATTGTGCAGTTCCGTTTAGATGGATAGTGTTAATTTTCATACCACGTTCATCAAACTCTAAAAAAAATCGCGGTGTGGAAATTTATCTCTTTCACGTTGTAAAATCGTTTTCAAACTTTCCGAATACAGTATCACGCATTAAATTTGTGTACCATTACTGGCTGTCAGGAAAAATCCAAACCAAGTAATTTTTGTACTAATTTCTCGAGGCACCAGACAAAATTATTGACGCATTTTTTCGAGCCTGAGAACCGAACCCAGGTTTGGTTCCCAGGCTCTCTCAAGGACAGTTTTCCTATTTTCCAAAGGAAGGAATGAAAGTGGCCAAATCCGGCCTTCATCCTCTAATCCCAAAAGTTGTAGCGGTCAACCAAAAACCACAAATATTTCACTCTGCGTTGAACTCTCAGACCATGTATAGATCTCTGGAGACCTTGTGTGCAAAATCAAACCTATCAGACTCAAATTCTGAAATTGGTATTCTTGTACTTGTGAAGAAATCTCAGTTGTTCTGATCTGTCTTATCTATCTTGTCTTGAATAATACATCAACTTATAATAGGATGATAAGTCCCAGCCACAGCCTGGCTGATTGAATTGTCTTTCATTTTCTCTCCAATCATCTGACCTATTCCACAAAGTTTGTACATCTCAATCCTTTCACCTTTTGTGTGGTAAAAAGAAATTCCTCTGTAATCTTTTCCCCACACTGGCATTATTATTTCTCTTAATAATTAAAAAAAATTACATCGCAGACGAATAATTGGATCACATCTCATTAATATAGACGTCAGCTTGAAAAATACTGAATGAGTTAGAGCCCAGCAGGTGTATTTTTCTTTTCTTTTTTGTCATCGTGAACGCACAGCAGTTGGGTTGTTTTTTTTTTAAACAATAAAGCTGAAAGTCAAGCTCAAGTGAGAACATATTTTGAAATACGATGAGGACGCGTTTCTGCGACGTAAATGGTTTTCCCATCATCGCTAATTTTCACATCATGCGGTTCTTTCAGCCGTTGGGCTCCGAAAGTTGATACAATCATGGTTTTTTCTTGACGGGATTTCGGGTTTAGCACGAAACCTTGAACAATGCCTCCACCGGCTTTCTGTCCATTCATTCCGATGATCAATCCTCCTGCGAAGAAAAAATAAACAGAAATTTGGCAACTACTGTAGTTTTATGCAATTTACCGTGAATCAAAAATGACATTTTTATAAATTGATCGTGGATCGCGAGGAGTTGATCGCAATGGCTTCGTATAGCTTCAAATGAAGTTCAAAATAAACGCAGGAAATCTTGGACTTCAGTAGAATATCAGAAATGGAAACAGTTCTTGTTGCTCTGTTCATTCATTTGTTTTAGTCTTATTTTCAACTTGGGAAAACGTTTGCGCAAAATAAAATTTACTGACCCAACGTCATCATGGAAAATTACGGCATCAATCTATTCTAGTTCCTTTCTATCATTTGCGTCTGAAAACCTTTTTTTCCTTTTTTTTGTGCGAATTATTCCGATGATTAGTTAAACTCCAAAATTCCTGAATGCCACTGAAACTTGTTGATGGAAATTTATGCGTGAATATTTCAAGAATTGCAAGGTTTATCTCATTTCAGCACATATTAGAATACAATTACATTATCTCTACTTCATTTTTTGCCACTTACAAGTTAGTGTACATCATGATTGAATGATTTTATTTTAATAACGATAGCTTTTTTTTACGATTACGATTGTAGGGATAACGATAACTTGTTGATTCGGTTTCTCGCCAAAAAAATTCAATTTTTGCCTTCATGTATGTTGGCAATTTGACCAAATAACGTTTGACAATTTTTTGACGAAAGGATCCCTTCTTATTGGAATGTTCTGAGCATCAAGAATACAGTGTTTCCAAATTTTTCCTCAAACCCAGAATTGCGAAAAATGTGGAATAATTGAAAAAGAACACTCACTGTAAAATTTTTGGCAATAAATCAAGACTTTAACAGAAACATCTTTTGAAGAATCCTATTGAAATAATTGACGAAAAATGAAATTATCGCTGGGGCTTATTTGTCTGTGCAAAACTGCCCATATATACACGTGTGCAAAACTCACCGAAAGCAGGAGAAAATCCTACTGCAAAAACCCGTCCATCAAATCGCGCTGAAGTCATTGATCCAACGATTGACATATCTTCAGTCATCAGCGCCTGAATTCTGCCATTTTCCCGATCAGCAATAAAAAGAACTCCTCTTTCTTGATCCAAAGCCAAGGAATGTACGACATTGAATTCAGTTCCTTTCGGGCGTCGAATCCACGCAGCTAAAAATCTCATGTGTGCTGGACCCGATTTACCCAACTTGAAAATAAATAAATAAATAAAATAAAAGTCATTCTCATTGCCGAAATGTACACTGTAAGAATAATACGAGGGTTTTGGTTCGTAAAATATGATAAACTGCCACTCATTTGCCGTCATTGCTGGAGGCGAATGCAATTCTTTTCTTTCTTTTGCTCTTCAATTCTTCATTGGTGTCTAATAATTTTTTTTTATACAGTTCAGCTTTAGAAGGAACCAAGAAAAAGACCTGGGTCACAGTGAATCCCCTGCATTTTTGTTTGTTTTCCTTCTGCAGTTGAGTATAGTTAATAAAAAAAATGTATTAGACACCAATGAAGAATTGCAGAGCAAAAGAAAAAAAATTGCAGTCATCTTTTACGAACCAATTTTCGTACTTCGGTTGATTTGAAATTCATTCGAAAAACCTGAAAAAGAAGTCGGCCGTCGGGAGAAAATTTCATAACCCTGCTGTTGCAGTACCCGTCAGCAACGAAGATGTGTCGGGTTCTTCTTTCAACAGCTACGGAAGTTGGCTTGCAAAAATGGTTGTTGTCTTCCCCGGGTTCCAATCGAGTGCCAAGTGCCATGAGTGGGGAACCCGCTTCTGTGAATTTCAGCGCTTGATGTGCCCCAGCGTCTGTTACCCATAAATTGTCCTCGTGATCAATCGTCAGTCCATGAGGCAAGTAGAATCTTCGCGGAAAACATAATTTTTTTTTCTTTTCAAATTATGGGTAAACTGGAAATAACAAGGGTTTTTATTAGACGAAGGTTGATGAGTCTCCTAACGATGGAATTTTTTAATTCAACCCTCTTGACGCAGACACGATTTGTTCTTCAAAATTTGCTGACCATTCTCAGGGGGGAAATTTAAAAATTATTGAACAAGTGAATATGAAATTTTGAAAAATTTCAGGGATTCTTTTCTACCGCTCCCTTCTTGAGGAACTTCAAAATTTTGGACATGTACTGCATATATATAGTAAAATTTGCATCGATTCAATCTGAAATCTTGAGTTTCTCCCAGTATCTTGGTCAATGTTTTGGAGATTCCTCAAAGTTTGAAAAAAAAAATTACAACGCCTTCTTCGGTAGAAAATTCTTATGAAACCCGATCGAAAAGTATGAAAAAATTCGATAAGTAATTTGTACGAGAAACTGATCATTCACATCACTACTCCAAAGTCACTGAAAGTTTCCAAATTCAGTCATTTTTTCATACAAATTTCTGACTATTTGCCACATAATGAAACATTCCCTGTATTTTTCCATCGAAAATTGCTGCTCGATCGTTTCAGAATTATCGGTGCTCAATTTATTTTTCGCTTTGCAGGATCCCAGAAAAAAAATATTTATTGTATACAGTATATAAGAAAATTGCGTCAGAATTTCTTCATCCATGTTCAACAAACGTATTTTCAAAATTATACTGCGTTTTATGAAGGCGCTATTTTGCACAGTTAAAATCTGTGTCGATCGCCGTTTTATTGTAGAAAAATTTCCTCAGAAAAATCTTGTTCCTCGTGGATCAAAGCCTTCTTTTTTTCTGTGGAACAAAATATAGAGAAATTTGACTCACAGTTCTTTTCCCCATTGTCCAAGTTGTTTCCCTGTTTCGGGGTCAATATATACAACAGTGTTTCCAGCAATGGGTCCTTCTTCAACCTTTCGGAATCTGTTTTGACGATCAAAGGACGCTGGAACCCAATCTCTGCCAGCTCTATGAAGCATTGCCAAAATACCGTCACTTCTCATAGCAACAGACGTCACTTGACCCAAGGTGACCTCGTCTGACAGCGATGGCCAATCTTTCACCAACTTGTAATCTGGAGAAATAAATCATTGAAGTACGATGAGAAGCAGTCGATGTTGGTTTTTTTTACATTATTTATAACCTGCTGGAATGGGATGTGAAAAAGCGGGTTTCAAATGGACATTCCTCGATTCCTATATTTATTCTCAAAAAGAAAATTGGTAGAATGAGATGAAAGATAAATTAAATTAAATACGGAAACGAAGATTCAAATTAATCAGCAACATAAATGCTGGAATTTTCTCCCGTGCGGTGGATGTAATTTAAATTGCGGTAATTCAAGTATTTCTCAGATTTTTGATAATAAATTTTGGTTGCATTGATGGGTACAGAATCGAAATTTAAAAAAAACGTTTTTCTCTATTTTTCGAAAACAATAATGATTTTGTCTAGATTTTTCTCTTACTTCCAGATAGTCCAGATGCTGTTTCATTATTCCCGTCCGATCTTTTTGCGAATGTGTTCTGCCTGTGCTGATTCCGCTAAGAAGCAGAACAGTACCTTCAAAATTGGTCTCAAAATTTTTACAAATTGAGGACACCAACCTTAGTGCTTCTGTTAGCTGAAGAGCCGTTGATCGAATAGATTGACAACAAGCTCATCATCAATAGAATTGACCAGCAGACACTTCCTGGAAACATTCTTTTCACAGCCTCGCCTCGAATTAAATATCCTTGAAAGTATTAATGTCAATAATTAATGGTTATTATTTCAATTTCAAGACAGGAATTTTTTCAAAAATTAATAAGATGAACAAGAATTTTCTGGCGTTTGTATATACTGTAATTGGTGAGAAAAGAAAATGGCTAAGATGAGTCTATACCAATATGTTCTGGATCATTTTTCCTTTGCTCAAATAAACAGTATTTTATTTATTTCATAAAATACTTACATTGTAATTTTGGAAAAGCTAAGTAATTCTGCATGGCCACTTTGCATAATCATGCAATTTTACTGCGAAAAATAACGCATCGATTTTTAAAGAAATGGAAGCGGATTCAATGGTTGGTTTTTATTCGGATTTCGATGATGATCGCTCAATTTATGTGATCAGTGCTAGTTTTCAACTCGCTCTGGTTATCTTGGAGAATTTTACAATTTAAGAAATATGCACGCGCGGAAAATTGACACTCCTGAACACAATAATTCATTGTATGAGAAGAGTATCGAAATATTTTTGAACTTCTGTATTTGAACAGCACCAGCTCTGGTCAAGATTTTTTCTTATTTTTAAACCAGGATTTTGCCAAGAACACAAACACACTGTTTCAGGGTGTTCACCGGCGACTGCTGGCTACTTTATTTTCGAAGTGAAGACTGCATGAGTGGACCAGATGATATTGTTGCAGGGAGCAGGGCATTGAACCCTGATTCAGGTCACGATTATATATACGTGCTGTTCACGCAATGAAGAGAAGAAGAAAAAAGGTTCACCTTGTTCCACATATCACCGACATTGAAAATTCAAAAATTTAATAAGAGGAAAGTATATGTTCACCCATAGTTTCACTGAAATTTGAAACACTGACAATGTGTCCATATGAAAACCAAATATTGTACTTCACTTCACGGTTGGAAAAAGCGAAAAGTAAAAAGAATCAGAACGACCTGAATCACTCAATCATTTTGAATGGAGACTTGAATTCAAATGTTTCGATGATCAAAAGTCGATTATTGGTAATGCCATAATACGGTTTCGAATGATTATACTTCGATGAAAATGATGATGATGAAAACGAATTTGCCCCGAATGAATTTTGCTTATTGTTTTCCTTTGCTTTTGCAATCAATGCTTCTTGCAGAAAATGTGCTTCGCATCTGAGACATTTTCGCCCGTGAGCTCTTTAACTTTCCCTGAAAGTACTCGAAGTATCACGCTTAAAAGAAGTTCAGCAAACTTTTTTCATGCGGGAATTATGCTTCATGCTCTGGAAACCATTCGTGAAAATTCCATGCGTATTAAAATTTAAAAATAAAAATAAACCAAGCAGAGGACCCAGAGGAAATCATGAGGCGTGAAAATCAAAGAAAAAAAATCCCACAGCAGGTCACCAAACGCATTCCTTGTCGAAGACAAATATGTATATAGTATATTAAAAAATCTTTAAAAAAGTCTTCACCTGAGTCAGTTAGAATCTCTAATAGTTTATTTGTATTAATATTTAACCCAACGTTCTCACTTTTGAACTTTCTTTTTAAAGACGCTAATTTTAAGATCAGTATTTGACAAAGCACTGAAGCATTTTTGTCTGGTTTTAATGGGAGACAATGTTGATTGAAAAATCACAAAGTAAGACATGTCATTTTTCGGCTCAAAGTTTGGTTTGTGACATGTGATTAATGCAATAAGTGACAGGTAGATTTTAAAATGTACATGTTACATATATGTGTGCAATCCTAGATGTTCTAAACGTTTTCTGTAATTTTGCTATGAATACCAAAAATTTACCGGAGTGAAAAGCTAATGGTTGCAATATCCGCTTATTATTATCTCGAAATTACCGGATGAGCCAGAATAAGTAAATGAATATTTGTAAAAGTCTCTTTTCTTCCAGCAGGAAAATCATAAACAGCTGCCATTGTTTCAATCGATCTGTCGAAGTCGATTCAATCAGGAAAATTCGAAGCACCATCCTATATTTCTTCATTATACAACATAAATTGTAAGTACTGTAGACAGAAGCGTAATATTGACTGGTGGGAAAGAAGTGACATCTGTTGGGCTTCAAAACCGTGTCTAACTCTGGAACCAGTGTAGATGTCTCTCAGGTTATGGTGCAATATTTATCTATGTCCCAGCTTGAAGATGTCACTCTTCAAAACATGGTGAATTGCTTTGCATACAATAAATGGTGCTGCGTCAAATATTTCTGAACTAAATGTGAATAGGTGTGGATTACATGCAAATATTTACTGGTAAAGTGGCAATATATTTTTGTGTTCGCTTTTACACCCTTATCAACACGGATCATTGTTTTTTACTTTAGTTATTCTGACGAAGTTTCCATGCAGACTCTTCTATCAATGTAGGAATTTCACAGGTCCAGCAAATGCAATTAATGTCATAATACAGTACTGTGCATTATGCTGAAGAAATATCCATCTGGCATTCATGTGGGATTTCAATAAATACAGTACTGCAGGTCTGCAGCAGGAAACTTTACCAAGATTTTCGGATTGGGATGCGTTTGAGCATCACCATTATTGGAATAAAATTTGAGTCATGATACTCATGATTACTGCACTTACATATCGTTTTTCACATGCAATCATCATCATAAAACTTGTTAGTTTCTTTTACACGCCGTGGCTGCATAAAAAAAACCAGTCTTCAAAGAAACATTTAAATAGGTGACCTTGGTATTTTAGCTAGAGGGTTCCATCTCTCCGACTCAACCCACAGAGTACTTGAACCCGTTAAATTCCGTGGCCGTGATCCAAGTCTCTGGGGTAAAGGGAACACTTCTGGGCAAGGTTCAACTGCTCCATGGGTGTGTGTGTGTGTTGTGTTGGTAATAATGTGATTGAAGTCTCAATTAAGGATTAACACAGAGGAAAAAAACTAAAATACTTCCATAATCAAGTTTTAATAAGTCATGCTGCCAGCTTTTCCTTGTAGTCACTCTATATTCAGTCTATTACTGTATATGCACGAAGGAATTCACACCAAAATGAACCCCAATGTGAAAAATTGAATCTTATTCATGATTTTATATTTTCAGACAATATTTCTTGGAAAAAAATATTATGAAATGAATGCTAAAAAATACTAAATACGCCATCTTGTTTCATCATGTCAATACAGTAAGCGAATAACAGTGTACACAAATGCATACAAAGAAAGAACTGCAGTCGGCAGATATTTTGTGAATTATCCCCTCTATTATGTATGGTAAGTGGGATTAGTTATACAGTATTCTGCATCATCAAAATGATGATGACTGCCTTCTCTTTTCACGCACCAAATTGATTATACTGTATTTTGACACCTGTTACCTCCTTGTAGCCCTTTAAAATGGGTCTTAGCTAGCAAATGCCCCTGCTAACAGAAAATGCAGTATTCCAACTGCTGTAATTTATGAGAGTACTGTACAGTACAATCTTCCATAGCAGAGAAACACAATAATCCAGCAAACAAACAATTGTTCCCCAAAGTGTGCCTCTCTAATACATCAAAATTATTCCTGAAAAAAATTCAGCGGACAAATATCCCAGCTAACAGACATTTCCCTGGAATGGATTGTATATTTTTGAACAAATGCATTACTATGACAAGAAATTAAATATTTCTGACCACCATGCAGAAAATATTCATGTTTTGTGAAAAAAGAAAAATTGAATTTGGTTACGTAATAATGCACATGTGCTTGCGAGTGTATGAGACCCAGGCAGGTGATCATCTCGCAAGCCAGCACTTTGTACTGACACCCTCCTTCGCTTGAGCGTTGCCTGTGCTGTATCCTCTCCAATGACGCACTACGCAACCAGAGAGGGACATGCGAGAGGTTGCGTAGCAACTAGCAACACAGCTGTTTCTGGGCCGCCGTGTGTCTTGCACGTGAGTCCTGTCCGTCAGTCCTTTCGAAGCACGCGCGCACTGATTCAAATCGTGGAATTCCAATTCGGTCTACAATACCCTATTCTACTTTAAAGCCTCGTTTAAAAAGCAAATGACATTGGTATACGATAAAAAGCTCTTTTAAGGAGGAAAAATTCGAGTAAAATCGTGACGTTCATGGCCAAAAATTTGGATTCCACGTTAATCTCAGAGACCAAGTTCTATATACAGTGTAATCTGCTGAATTGTTCATAGTGCAAGTAGACTTTCTAATATGATTTTCTCTGTAAAGAAAATATTTGGTCCCATAGGATTCTCTTCCTAGAGGTTCTCTACAACTGATTGTGTTCCTCATATTTCTTGTAAAGTGTTCACCTACTGTACCATAATAAATAAAAGGTGTGCATGACACAATGCTATGGTAAAGAATACAGTACAGGTGGACTCACTCTGCTGCTGCAAACTTGTCTTGAATCCCCTTCCCTGTAGAAAAAAAAAACACATTCCGCATTGGATTCTCTCTCCATATTTTATGGGTTCTCTGCAATGGATTCCTTTCTGCAACTCACTTTTTCCATGATGAATGTTTGTCTGGCCTTCTGAATTTTGTTGTAGAGAGATTCCCTTGTAATCATAATCGTGGCACGGAGAATTTTCCTACAGAAAAAAATTTCAGGATACCTGAAAGATTTTTTCAAGTAGATTTGACTTTTTTTTTTGCTATACCAACCTGACCACCCCACTCCCATTCACCAGCAGAGGAGGAAAATGACTCATCATATCTTCAAATGAGCTTAATAGTTTGAGACAATTTCGCATCACAGAAAGAGTACCTGTGTATAAAAAAATTTTGAAACATATTACGTAACTAAAAGGAGAGGAACATTTGGATTCAACGTTTCGTATTGCCACGTATTTAACGCATGCTTATATCAATGAAGCTCTGGGCTCACCGAGAAGACGGACAGACACACAGCAGAGTCTATGGGATATTATTCACATCGCTGTTCTCAGATACCCGTGAAACGCTTTTGACGGTGCATGGACTAGAAATGTGTTTTCCAGGGATTTCCTTTCCTTATCTATTTGGATTTTGTGTGGCATTTGAACCCTCTGACTATCGAATTTTTGGCTCTGTTTGTAAATACATGTGAACGCCTTTTTCCTAGCAATAAGCAGTGCTGGAGTGACGTCGAACTCGAATGCGCGTGTTATCGATTCCTTTGTGTACAACAACAGTTCGATGTCGTCACAGCATATCTTTATGTAGAAAAAAATTGCTTTTGAGGTTCTTTCAGTTTATAGACAGAATTTTATTGAAGACTCATTTTGAAGAATTTTCCGTTTAACCGAAGATTTCTCATCATTATGGGATTCATTCTGCGTGTTCCTCAAATGTTGAGGTTATAAAATGCTAGTGGAAATGATTGTGAAATGGAGGGTTTTCGAAAAAAAATTTCCATGGTTTGCGTGAGCGATTTTTTGCATAATTAATGATGAGAGTAATAAATTTGCTCACGCATATCTTCATAGAATTGCAATAAACGTCGATCACATATTGTTTCTTCCTGCTGGTGAATCCGCAATTGCTGGAGTAATCCCATTGAATGTTTTTTTTTTAATATTTCTTCCTACAGCCTATAATTATTCAAGTTATAATTTGATATATTTTATGACGGTCGTGAGCTTCAACAAAGGGTTACCAGTTACTTTTAATGTCCTTCCAATAGTCGATACAGTTACAAAAGCACGACAGCAAGTACTGTACTGTACATCAAATTTTTGCGTCAAAAAATAAATCTCTTGGATGCTACAACTTGTTTTTCAAAGGGTTCTTTTGTTGAGTTAAATCTTATTTTAATAAGTAAAATCACGTAGTATATCTTAATCATTTTATGGACCGCCAATATTGTTGCGTAAGGGAGAAAATGTCTCAAAATTCGGCACGATCGTTTTTAGAATAAATTTTGTAATGAACGTGCATTTCAAAACTGAGAAACAAATTTTGAAGATTGCATCACTTCTCTCTGTGATTTTCAGCATACTTTCTGATGATCTTTTCTATAATTTGAGTGCCTCTGGGTTTCTGCTGAAAACTAATTACAGTACTGTATACGTGCATAAAGTGCATTCGAACGAAAATCAAATTCTGGCATCCATTAAAATTAATGGATTTTTTCTTTTTTTCTGATGAAACTGCGCTGATCAGTAAATTTCGAGTAATTATCCCCTTTTTCGTGCATAGGTGATTTTAATCATTTTTTTGTGATTTGGACTGTAGTCTCCAAATAAAAAAATAGACGATCTATTTTTGAAGGAGTCTTGGAAATAATGATGCATTTTTACATCATTGCTGTGAAATGGAAGTAACTCGCTGACCTTTGGCTTGAACACAGAGCCAACTTCCCCTTCCTTGTGGCGCGATTATTCTCTCAACCAAATCGGCCAATTTATAATTATTACGTACAGTAATTCAAAAAATGGTTGTATTTTACAAACGCTGTGTTCATTAAAACTTGAAATCAAAATACTATACAGTAGAAACATAAATTTTGAAAAATCACCACTGTATTTCATTTGCTGCCAAAACTGTGTGCAACATTCTAATTGTTATTTATACTGCTTTTAAATGCAATATAGGCATCAAAAACAGTTGATTGTCAGCTTTAAAATATGTTAATGTCACTTTTTCTCATAGAACATAATTGTGGACATAATTATGATGTGAAAAACAAAATGTTGCCACTGGTAGCCACCCTGAATTGATCCTTATTTAGTGCCACAAAATGTCCTGGGATGATGTTTGGTGGCACTAAATCGGAATTTGACTGTATAATCATTTATGTGCATATATAAATGTGTGGAAAGAAACAGCGGAGCTTTAGGTGTATATATTCGTCTGTAAATCTCTGAAGCCATTTGGCTAGTATATTGTATCAACACAGGAAGCAGAGAAGCACTGAGAATTTAGTTTATTGTGCTTTTGAAAAGAATTGAAAGTATAATTGGGCAAATGATGAATCCTTATTGCCTCCAAGTTCAGCATCCAGCAGTCAACGCATTCAAGAAGCAATTCATGACCTATAGAATATTATCTGATTATTCTTCATTCTTTCCCTCGACTCAACTACTTGTATGCTTAACTCAAATTTTTTTATGATACCTTGAAGTTTCACGAAAACAGGCGCATCTGATGTACAGTAATCGGATTTCTGATGTTCAGGTATGCGTGTGATGTGATGTGCATGCGAAAATGCATTAGCGACATCTGTCTGAGAAATAAAAAAAAGTCATTTGAGAGATTGTTTCATGGTGACGAGAACTCGCATCCTGTATCGAATAAAAATTCCACACCGTGCTGCGGTTGAAAACATGAGCTGTTTTTATGAAGCGTGATTGTATTCTTTACATTACGCCAGCAATCGTGCAGAAATCATTCTTGCAAAAAAAGAGGTCGTGTTAAAACTGCGGAATAATGAAAAAACGTCCATGGTCTACTAACGTGTTCGTATCTTAACGCTTATCGTCACGACCCATTGCGTCTGCAGCCCTTTAGATGAAACGACCCGCAGGACTGGGTTCCACATTTGGACAATGGACGAGGTCGAGCGAGGCTTTAATACAAGGCGGTAAACGTGCTTCATGTTTGTCCCTCTTGAAGAAGTTAGTCAGTGCCTTAGTACCCGAAGCTAACGCTCCAAACACAGGCCCTTCTATTCAGATCCATGACATGTTAAAAAAAATTATGAAACTTAATTTCTTTTGAAACTGTTCTGCTTGTTGACCAGAAATTTCTGATTTATTCTAAATTTCCGAACCTTATTGTTCTTTTTTTTGTCACGAAGGGTTTTTCGGTTATGCAATGTTTTGCACGCCAGCGTGTTTCATTAGTAGAGAAAAATATCAAGGAATACATTTAGAGATTTTAGACAAACAATAATACCAGGAAAATGATCCAATTCCTGGGCAAAAACGCATCCTGCGCATATTTGATCATTTTTATTTTAGATGTTCAGATCATATTTCAGACATGAATTCAATAATTTCCGCGGATGTCTTGAGCACGTTTCCTTCAATTAATTTAGATGCAAAATTGCTGGATTACTTCATAAAAATCTAGTAATTTGGATAATTTCATGGATATCCCGGGTAACGGATGGGCCGTAGGGACCGTTTTCCATCATGACGTCTTAGTTGGCCACCCTCTGATTGCTAAAAAAAACATTATTTCGTGGGTTACAAACTTACAATGAGACCCCAACATACACACGCTTCAATAACATACATCAGACGATTCGACTTGGGAACATTAGAAACGCACACAAATCTGCCCCGACATTCAGACAATGTCTTGAAATACAGAAAATTTCCTAACATCTCTTATTGAGCACTTGAAAATGTTTTGCTTCTAAATGTTGCTATTTCTTTTTTTTAAATTGTCCTATTCATATTCAAAATAATTCAAAATGAATTTCATGATGAAATTACACTACTTTAGTTCATAATCAAAAGCAGGCTAATTTTGTGCTTATTTTTTCAGAATTTTGTCTATTATCTGTGCACAGTATAGCTTGACTTGTTCGAATCATTTGCTATCTTGACCTCCTTCTGATGAAAAAAAAAATCGTGTTTTGTGTGGTTTTCCTCTGCACAGTCATTTCCTGCTTCTTGAAAATGAGAAGCAAATTTTTATTTCATATCTTGGATATTTAATTCCTGATTTCTAATCAACGGGAGAACTCATAAAATAAGTTCCCTTTGAAGTCTATGGGAAAACATGATCCAATTTAAATATGGGCTCTGACACAGGGACAAAGTCCAAGCACCAATTACATCCATATCCCCAGGCACTACTGTATTTAAAAGCCTTTTATCTGAAGAAGTGTATGGATATCCTTGCTGTATTCTCTCAGGGGAATGTGAAGACATACCAAGACTGCCAAACAGCAGAGGAAATTGTGGAGAAATCTGCCAAGCTCATCACATTCATTGACCTGGCTGGCCATTACAAGTACCTCCACACCACAATATTTGGCCTCACAGGCTACTGTCCTCACTACATAATGCTGGTGGTCAGTGCCAACACTGGGATGGCAGGAACCACTGTGGACCACCTCAACCTCGCACTGGCACTGAATGCTCCATTTTTTGTGGTCATGACAAAGATTGATGTCACACCTGGTCACATTATGGAACAAACTGTGAGGACTTTAAGGGAGTTCCTCAAGGCTGAAACCCGCAGGGATGGGTTGCTGGTGGAGACTGTGGATGATGTGTCCAGAGCAGTGAAGGGTGTCAAAGAGAAAGGGAATGTTGTGCCAATTTTCAAGCTGTCCTCAGTCACGGGGTTTGGACTGGGGCTCCTCAAGGAATTTTTGCACATTCTTCCGCCATACCTAAACACCTTGGAGAGAGAACAATTGGAGAAGGTATGTTGCTCATTTAATCAAATGCTGTCTTTTTTTAAGTATTTTTTCAAGGGCCGAAAATTCCTGCTTAAGAAAACACATGTACACGTGGAATTTATTCAACAAAATTACTGGGTGAGGGGAAATTGACATAGAAAATCAAAAATTGATGAATGTCATCATGTTATGAGTTTACACTTTTGATTTCTTTAAATTATGAAGAAATTGGAAAATTGAAAGCAAATCAAGAGAAATTTTCAATTGTATGTCCTTTTCAGCCAACAACAACAACAAACAAATTGGAACATTTGACAAATTCTAAATTTTGGAAAGTTGAAAGCTGCCAGGATTATGAATTCCCTGACACAACAATTAATCAAGCACTTTTATGTTTTCTGTAAATCTCTGAAGCCATTTGGCTAGTATATTGTATCAACACAGGAAGCAGAGAAGCACTGAGAATTTAGTTTATTGTGCTTTTGAAAAGAATTGAAAGTATAATTGGGCAAATGATGAATCCTTGCCTCCAAGTTCAGCATCCAGGGGTCAACGCATTCAAGAAGCAATTCAAGACCTATAGAATATTATCTGATTATTCTTCATTCTTTCCCCCAACTCAACTGCTTGTATGCTTAACTCAAAATTTTTTATGATACCTTGAAGTTTCACGAAAACAGGCGCAACTGATGTACAGTAATCGGATTTCTGATGTTCAGGTATGCGTGTGATGTGATGTGCATGCGAAAATGCATTAGCGACATCTGTCTGAGAAATAAAAAATTGTCATTTGAGAGATTGTTTCATGGTGACGAGAACTCGCATCCTGTATCGAATAAAAATTCCACACCGTGCTGCGGTTGAAAACATGAGCTGTTTTTATTAAGCGTGATTGTATTCTTTACATTACGCCAGCAATCGTGCAGAAATCATTCTTGCAAAAAAGAGGTCGCCAATTTTGACGCCTTATTACTTTTTTGCAGGTACCAGATGATTGCACAAGCATAGAATTGCGAATAGCAGTGCTGGGTAACGCAGACGTCGGGAAATCTACTTTGCTGGGCGTCCTGACCCAAGGTGATTTGGACAATGGACGAGGTCGAGCGAGGCTAATTATGTTCCGCCATTTGCACGAAGTACAAACAGGGAGAACTTCTTCAATCAGTCACGGAATCATGGGCTTCGATTGCGAGGTTTGTGTCCGGGAAGATAAGTCTAGGTACTGTACAATTTTTTTTATGAAACTTAATTTCTTAGGAAACTGTTCTGCTTGTTGACCAGAAATTTCTGATTTCTTCTAAATTTCCGAAACTTATTGTTCTTATTTTTTGACACGAAGGGTTTTCGGTTATGCAATTTTTTGCACGCCAGCGTGTTTCATTAGTAGAGAAAAATATCAAGGAATACATTTAGAGATTTTAGACAAACAATAATACCTGGAAAATGATCCAATTCCTGGGCAAAAACGCATCCCGCGCATATTTGATCGTTTTTATTTTAGATGTTCAGATCATATTTCAGACATGAATTCAATAATTTCCACGGATGTCTTGAGCACGTTTCCTTCAATTAATTTAGATGCAAAATCGCTGGATTACTTCATAAAAATCTAGTATTTTGGATAATTTCATGGATATCCCGGGTAACGGATGGGCCGAATAGGGACCATTTTCCATCATGACGTCTTAGTTGGCCACCCTCTGATTGCTAAAAAAAACATTATTTCGTGGGTCAAAAACTTACAATGAGAACCCAACATACAGACACCCCAATAACATACAGACGATTCGACTTGGGGACATTAGAAACGCATACAAATCTGCCCCGACATTCAGACAATGTCTTGAAATACAGAAAATTTCCTAACATCTCTCATTGAGCACTTGAAAATGTTTTGCTTCTAAATGTTGCTATTTCTTTTTTTAAATTGTCATATTCATATTCAAAATAATTAAAAATGAATTTCATGATGAAATTACACTACTTTAGTTCATAATCAAAAGCAGGCTAATTTTGTGCTTATTTTTTCAGAATTTTGTCTGTTATCTGTGCACAGTATAGCTTGACTTGTTCTTTTCATTTGCTTCTTGACCTCCTTTTGAAACAAAAAATCATGTTTTGTGTGGTTTTCCTCTGCACAGTTATTTCCTGCTTCTTGGAAATGAGAAGCAAATTTTTATTTTATATCTTGGATATGTGATTCCTGATTTCTGATTAACGGAAGAACTCATAAAATAAGTTCCCTTTGAAGTCTCTGGGAAAATATGATCCAATTTAAGTATGGACTCTGACACAGGGACAAAGTCCAAGCACCAATTACATCCATATCCCCTGGCACTACTGTATTTAAAAGCCTTTTATCTGAAGAAGTGTATGGATATCCTTGCTCATAAGAGAGTCCCCTTACACTTCTGTATGGTTCTGACGGTTTGTCGTCTCCTTTAACACCTCTTTAGACGGTTCGAGTAGTGTAAGTAACTGGACCGACCGGTAATGTTCATGGAGGTGTGGTGTTAATTTGGCCTCACAGGCTACTGTCCTCACTACATAATGCTGGTGGTCAGTGCCAACAGACCCTACCGTCCTTGGTGACACCTGGTGGAGTTGGAGCGTGACCGTGACTTACGAGGTAAAAAACACCAGTACTGTTTCTAACTACAGTGTGGACCAGTGTAATACCTTGTTTGACACTCCTGAAAGAGGGAGTTCCTCAAGGCTGAAACCCGCAGGGATGGGTTGCTGGTGGAGACTGTGGATGATGTGTCCAGAGCAGTGAAGGGTGTCAAAGAGAAAGGGAATGTTGTGCCGATTTTCAAGCTGTCCTCAGTCACGGGGTTGGGACTGGGACTCCTCAAGGAATTTTTGCACATTCTTCCGCCATACCTAAACACCTTGGAGAGAGAACAATTGGAGAAGGTATGTTGCTCATTTAATCAAATGTTTTTATTAAGTATTTTTTCAAGGGCCGAAAATTCCTGCTTAAGAAAACACCTGTACAGATGGGATTTATTCAACAAAATTACTGGGTGAGGGGAAATTGACATAGACAATCAAAAATTTATGAATGTCATCATGTTATGAGTTTACACTTTTGATTTCTTTAAATTATGAAGAAATTGGAAAATTGAAAGCAAATCATGAGAAATTTTCAATTGTACCAGGAAAAGTCGGTTGTTGTTGTTGTTTGTTTAACCTTGTAAACTGTTTAAGATTTAAAACCTTTCAACTTTCGACGGTCCTAATACTTAAGGGACTGTGTTGTTAATTAGTTCGTGAAAATACAAAAGAGAGGATTGATTATTTTTTATTTATAAGTTATTAATGAAGCTGCAAGACCATGTTCAACATTTATGTGCATAACAAAAATCATCCTACAATCAATAAATTCCACTGTGCAGATACATAATCACTTTAAATTATTGTCTATAATTTATTATCTATAATTATTATCCCACCG